GGTACAGAAAATGCCTCCACCCTCAGGCTCCAGCATTCCATTGAAAGAATAGCCCGTAATCTCTTTTTCGTATTTCAAAGCCTTACATTATTCCTTGTATCAAATAACCTTAACTCTCTTGAGCTGACATGACACACTCCTCAGAGAGTGTCCTTTTAACCTTGGGAAGGTTGAGAATTGAATATGGAGACGATGAAATCAATCAAATACACTATACTGATATTTTAGTGTTAAGCTCAGGAACAATCTGTGCATGTGATCTAATCTGTAGTGTTTATGACAAGTTGGGAGTAGTAAAGAAACTAACAGATTAGCCTTATGATTCCAACTTAAAATTGTATAGACTTGCAATTGTAAGGTAAAAGGAATTAAAATTTGACTTGGGAAGCAAGAGTTCCAATGTTTAAGCCAACTGGATATTCACTATATTTGCACATTTAACTCATTCAATTTTGGTTTAGGTCGACCCTCTGTGTCTGCGGGTTCTGCATCCAAGGATTCACTCAACTGCGGATGGAAAATATTCAGGAACAAAAAGGTTCCAGAAAGTTTCAAAAAGCAAAACTTGAATTTGCTACAGGCTGGCAACTATTTGCATAGCTTTTATATTGTATTTACAACTATTTACATGGTATTTACATTGTATTAGGTACCATAAGTAATTTAGAGATGATTCAAAGTATATGGAAGGATGTGTAGATTATATGCAAATAGCACACCACTTTGTGGGGCTTCCCAAGTGGCTCAGTGGGTAAAGAATCCACCTGCAATGAAGGAGCTGTAGGTTCAATCCCTGGGTCGGGAAGATCCCTTGCAGGAGGGCATGGCAACCCACTCCAGTATTCTTGCCTGGAGAATCCCATGGACAGAGGAACCTGGAGGGCTACAGTCCATAGGGTCACAAAGAGTCAGACATGACTGAGTGAGCACCCACGCACGAACACCACTTCATATAAGGGACTTGAGCATCCTTGTATTTGATATCCAAGAGTTGGTCCTGGAACCAATCCCTTGTGGATACTGTATTATGGTCATAAATTTGTCCATTCAAGCATTCAAATGCTTAAAAAGAAAACAAAACAAATTGTGTGTGTGTGAAATATATATATATATATATAATGTTTAGGAAAATTTAGTTAAATTTATAAACGGATGGAACAGTTGAAGAGCATTTTAGTCTGTTCGACTTGTCTTGATTGAGCCTTAATCAAAGCCCTCTCTGAAAATGATTGCTCTAATTTTATATAAAAATAACAAGGTTAATAAATGGAAGTTAAAGACTTATGAAAATCTAAATTTAAAAATCTGAAACTTAGGGGCTTCTCTGGTGGCTCAGTGGTAAAGAATTCACCTGCCAATGCAGGAGACACAGGTTTGATCCCTGGCCTGGGAAGTCTGCACATACCATGGCGAAACTAAGTTCGTGTGCCACAACTACTGAGCCCATGCTCCAGAGCCGGGGAGCCCCGACTACTGAAGCCCTCGTGCCTACAGCCCGTGCCCCACAACAAGAGAAGCCACCTCAGGGAGAAGCCTGAGCGCCAAAACTAGAGAAAAGCCTGCGAAGCAACCAAGACCCAGCACAGCCAAAAATAAATAAATAAAATTATATTAAAAAAATTTGGAACTTAAATCTATAGTAACTTAACACCCAAAATTGAATGTTGTGTTTTTTTTCCTATATACACCCACACGAGTTTACTGGGCTATCAAATAATTCCCACTGATGATTTGGAAGAAAGAGGGGTAGGAGGGACTTCTCTGGCGGTTCGGTGGTTAACACTCCAAGCTCCAAATGCAGGAGACATTGGTTTGACTTGGCATGCTGCATGACCCTGCCAAAAAAAAAAGAGGGGTAGGACATGCGACAAAAAAATGAAATTATGTGTTATTTTGGCAGGGTTCGGTGTTCTTTTTTTTCAGGCATGCAGCACTGCTTGAGGGATCCTAGTTCCCCAAGCAGGGATTGAACCTAGGGCACAGCAGTGAAAGCACAAATCTTCACCACTAGGAATTCCCTAGGTGGCAGTTTTAAAGCAGAGCCCCAAGATTGTTTGAGGCACTTCCTGTTGAGAGGTAAAAGGCAGTGGTCAATGTTCTGTCCTCCCCTGAATCTGGGCTCTATAACTGCTTGACCAACGGAACATGGCAGAAGTGACACTGCTAGTTTCCAGGCTTAGTTGCCCTAAGTAACTGGCAGCTTCCGTTCCCTCCGTCTCTTAGGTGCTCACTGTTGGCACCTAGCCACCATGCTGTGAGGAAGCCCAAGCCATCCTGTGGAGAGGCCCACATGGAGAAGAACCAGAGCCAGCAATAACTTGCCAACCATGTGTGTGAGCCATCTTGAAAATGGATTCTTGAGTCCCAGTTGAGGTGCCCCAGTTAACGCAGCGGGGAGCAGAGGTGAGCTGTCTCTGCCACACCCTGCCCAGATTGCAGATCCTTGAGCAAAATAAATGATCCCTGTTGTTTACACCACTAAGCTTTGAGGTGGCTTTACATAGTAACCGATAAACAGAAGTAACATAGTACACATAGTAAGGCTTACAAATCTTAAATGCACAGCCTGATGAATTTTTACAGTGCAGCGATGAATTTTTACATTGTAAATAACCAAGTAGTCATCTATCAGGTTTGATATAGAATATTTGCATCTCCCCAGAAGGTTCCCTAGTCAAACAGCTTCTTGAAATACTACCTAGGCACCTGAACTATTAGCCCACAGTTCTGGGCAGCTCAGCATTTTTTTTTTTTTTCTCAGAGATGTGTCCAAATGTAACTGGATTAGAAACATTCTCTTCAGCATCCATTGATGGAATAAAAACAGGCTCTGATATGTAGGCCGGCAAAGAGCAGAGGCTCAAATGGAAGACAACCAGATTTCAGTCTGTAACCTCTGGGAAGTAGGTCTCCAGGAAAATGAGCTGATCTGCTCTTAAACTTCCCATCAACAGAGTCACCTCATAAAATGCAAGCACAGAGGGTGCTGTCTTAGTACCTGTAGTCAGGCTTGTGAGGCCCCACTTGGTACTTACAGTCCTAACTCTGTCCAAAGCAACAGAGACGGAGAAGGGTTTGGGGAACCTTTCAGCTGGATGGAGGAGATCCCCCCCAAATCAGCTTCACCAACTGCTTTACTTCAAACTATGGGCTAATTTCCATTAATCACACTTGGCCCTAATTACCCTGGAACAGCCTTTCTTCCTTAGGCCTGGAGCAGGAATTTTAAGGGGCTCCTGACAAAGCAGGTCCCTGAGACCAAACAATAGTGGTCTCCAGGAAAAGCCTGCATGAGGAAGTGTCAATCCCGACTCCCGTCCTTCCTGGAGACCCAGGTTCCAGGCCTGCTTGTGATCTCCCCAGGTAGGAACCCGAGTTCCTCCACTAAATAGATTTTTCTTTTGTTGTCACATTAATTTGCAACTCATTAATAGTGACAGAAGTGAGGTACTACACCAATGCTATTTGCATATTCATGAGTGACTTATTATTAAACAAATAAGATTTTCCTATCTTCGCGAGCACCCAAAGTAAGGCTGAACAGTACATTACACCGGCCCCGATGCTTTATTCTCTCTTTAATATGTTAATAGATGCAGTTGATTTCTTTAAGTAAATACGCATCTATAAAACAACACGTACTTTATAAAAAAGAAATCATTTAAATAATAATCCATTAGCAAAGTTGGCAACAATTTAAGAGGAACAGCCCATTAATACCAACGCGTGAGAATCAATTTGCGAATTTTAACTCGCTTGGGTGGTGGGTTGCGGACGATCGGGAAGGACCTGCGAGTGTGTGAGCGCTTAAAAATATATTTTAATGAGTTTCCGGAGACCAGCACTCGAATCCTTCGCGTCTTTCGGGTGCCGACTCCCAGTCAGTCGAAAACTGCCTGCGTCCTGACCCGGATCAGCGTTTTTCCGACATCCGCAGGGCACAGGAATCGTGATCTGAAAGCAGGCCGAGCGCCACGTCGACCCTGCCGCTTTCGCTGTGCCCACCGGCCGGGTATTAGCACCAGTTAAGCCCGGTGGGGGCGGGGCAGGGCCTGGGTTCCCGGCGAGACTCCCCCACCCGGCTGGGGCTGTGGCCTCCCCTCCTATCCACCCCTGCTCCGGCACGGGTTTCGTCACAGCCGGCTCTTTCCTGCCGGGGTCAGGGCGGGCTCCCCCCGCGGCGGCTCGGAGCGCGGGGCCAACCGCGCACCCTTATCTCGGCCGAGTCAGACACTCGCCGCGCGGAATCTGTTGACATTTACTATTGTTCGCAGGAGTCCGGAGCACGGGGCGGGGGCGGGCGGGCCGAGACTGGGAGAGGGAGGGCGGCGAGTGTGGGGCCTGCGGTCGGCCCTGGTGTGTGTTTGTGTGAGCTCGCGAAGGGGAGGGAGGGGTGGGGGATGCGCCGTCTCCACGGAAAAAAAGTGGCTCGCGGGCCCGGAAGCTTCCAAGCCGGCTCACTGGGCCACGTTGGGAATTGAGGTGGTGGTGGTTGTTGGGGGGGGGGGTTGCCCAAGAAGAAAGACGGGGCAGCGGGCGGTGGGGCCCGCGCGGGTGGAGGGGGTCGGCTCCAGCCGCACGGCCCCTGGTGACCCGCAGGACACAAGTGCATTTGTGCCGAGCCGTGGCGGGGATTAAAGTGCCATACGGCCAGAGCGAGGGGGGCGAGGCGGGTGGAAAACAACTCCCCGCGCGCACAAAGCGCGCATTGTTCCAGCCACCTCCATTATGCCGCGCTGCAGCCAAGAGCCCGTTTCGCAACTGCCCGCCCGGCGCTCGGGCGCGCGCGCGCGCGCACACACACACAGACACACACAGGCACGCACATGCACACACACATACAAGAATTCGTCTGGGCCTAGGCCGGGGGTGGGTGCGCTCCGCCGGGACTGGGAGACGCCGCTGGGGTTGGGGGGTTGGAGAGAGAAGGGGCTAGCAGGCGTCTTTTTCAGCTCGGGTGCTTGTCTATTCGGGGCTGGGCTTTTAAATGTCTTCTCTACCTAATCTCCTCCCCGGCACTTTTCCTTTTCTCCGGTTCCTCGGGCCTGCCCCGAGCGCACCCCGGAGCCTGGAGCTCCCCGGGAGAGGCGGCGACGGCGGGGCTGGCGGCTGGGGAGGGAGCGCTCTAAGCCTCTGTCACCAGGGAATCGCAGCCCCAGGCGCGCAGCGCTTGCCTGCTCTGCTGAGGACACGTGCTCGGGAGGATCCGAGGAAGCGTCCCGCCTTCCTACGAGAGGCTCCCGGAGCGCCCCCATCCCGGGCTCTCCAGGACTTCCCCAGACCCGGAGCGGGAGCTGCGGAATCCTGCGCGGAACAGACGCGCCTGCCCGTCAGTGCGTGCCAAGTGGGACAGTTCCGCAGCCCCCACCCACACCAGGCCGGTGCCTGGGCCCTGACCTCCACCCTCTCCAGCCTGCAGGGCACTGGACAGGTTCCCCGAGGGGAATTTAAGACTTGTCAGCCTCTTAGGACCCTACCCTTTTCTCCCCTGGGAGCGGAGCGGGGGTGTGGATGGGGGCAGGGAAAGAACCGAGACGCCCCATTCGCCTCCCGCCGCGCCCTCCCTGGTGGGCAGGTGGGGAGCGTAGGAGCCCGAGCGCGGCGAGCCAGCGCGGTCTGGTTTCCTTTACGTTTACAAGCTATAAATAAACTTCCCCTTGGGCGGATGCGCGCTGCGTCCAAGGGTGGCTTCCCGCCGAATCGGGCGGGTGGTTTACGATCCAGGCAGGGAGCTGGTCCTAGCCTGAGCCCAGGGTGGGGCGCTGGCTCCAGGAGAGCTCAGAGGTCGGCCAGAAGTGGCCGAGTGACCCTCCATCCCCTGCGGGCCTGGGGTGCCTCGGCGTTGTGGCTCGAGGGTAGGGCTGGGTGATTTATGAGCCATCACCCCACCCCGCCCCTCCCGTTTCACTTGTTTTCCTCGCCTTCTCCAGCTCAAACCCCATTCCCAAAGCCTCGCCCCCCCCACCCTGTCCAGCGACGATCTGGCAATCGCAGGCAGCTTAGAGCGCCAACACCGGCCCCGGCAGGACGCGTGTCCGCAGGGCGTGGGTGAGGTCCTCGCTGCTTTCACCCCCGGGTCCCGGCTCGGGGCCGGGAGCCGGCGGCTGAGCGCGACGAGGCTGGGCGGTCCAGGGCGGCCTTGGCCGGAGAGGCGGGGAGGAAGGGCTGGCCGCGCCACTCCGGAAACCGCGGGCCTGCCGGGTGGATCGCTGACCCTCAAGGTCACGAGGCGCGGGGAAACCACCGGCCCACGCCAGAACTGAGGCTAGCGCTCCAGTCGGAACCTTCCTGGGTGGTGCGCGGGTCCGCGACGGAGCCCGGAGGACGAGGTAGAAGACGTAGGGCAGAGGCCACCACGGGTCCCAACACTGCCCTCCATCCAAGGGGGGCCGTTTCATTCGGCCTTGGCGCCCACGCTGCGAAGTCTGGGCTCGGACCTCCTCAAGTCCCCAGCACACGTGTGTGTGTGTGTGTGTGTGTGCGTGCGCGCGCTCGCGCGCGGAGGGCGGCAGTGTACGTGTATGGGCCTATGGGGACTCAAAGGAGTGGGGTGACTCTGGCAGCTGCTACGATCGTTTCCGCTGAGACTTGGGAGGCCGCGAAGGAGAGGCGGCCAGCGGAGTGGGCGAGAGCCGGGCTTGGGAACGGGGAGGGGGCGTCTTCCCCCCTCCCCCCGCTCGGGGAGGCTCCGTAGCGAGCTCCCCAGCATCCTCTACCCTCCCGTCTCCCGGCCGCAGCCCCACACCGCCCCAGGCTCGCTCTCTGCTCCGTGTTTGTTTAACCCTCAACCCCTCCGCGGCAGCTGCGGGTAAAAGGATTCCCGGCGCGCTAATCCTGGGGCTGGACCCCAGCCTCCGGCCGCCGGGAGCGCCCCTCCCCCTCCCAAACCTCGAGGCCGAAGGTCCCCAGGGGCCGGCGCCTCCGCCACCTAATTGGGCCTGGGGGCCGTTGGGGATCGACAGAAGGGGACCCTTGGCAAGGTCCCCATTGTTCCCCGGGAGCTGGGAAGCTGACTCACGCTCCGAACACAGAGCGATGCCGAGTGTTTTCTCGGCAGCCTTCACCCGAGTGCTTTATTTAGACAGGCTTTATTTACAGTACACATGTTTTCGGCTCGTTATTCTGGAGGCGGGAGTGGAAACTGGGCAGAGCAGGAGTTCTCCCCGTGAGCCTCACGTTTGGAAAGGGGTTGAGGCTCAGCGCAGTCGAAGGTTCCCACTCCCGCTTGCTCTGTTCCCTAGTGAGTTGATGGCGGAGGAAAACAGTGAACCGGTGGGAGTGGAGGGCGCTGGACGGGGGCGGGGGGGCGGTTTACACACACAGGGGGTCACCCCTCCCACAGTGCCACCCTTCAAAATGCATAGCACCCTAGATACGTGAGACATCCGCATGCCTATTGTAGAGACTTGGAGGGGGGAGGGGTAGAAATTCACACAGACAACACACACTGGCTAAGAAGAGCGTCTTTAACTCTTTCGCCTGGGCTGCTTCCTTCCGGTTTTTTGCACTTCTCGGGTTATCCAGGACTCGGTTTCTCTCTGGATTCTGGGACTGGCCTTGTCGACTCCCGATTGGAGGGTACAGGCCAGCTAGGCGGCTAGAAGGCCTCTGGGTGCCAGCCCTTAGTCAAGCCTGCTCTTTTGGCAGCTGCTCAGTAAGTGGGGGTGGTCCGGGTAGGGGGCTGCAGAAATTATCTGAGCTAGGTGAAATGTTTTACAAAACCTTTGGTGGGGGAGGGGGGCTACGGTTGACTGGAAGCTGGCGATGTTCAACCAAACCAAGGTTAACGAGTTCTCTCTCCTGACTTTTAAGGTGCAGTTCAGAGAAAACTGGGGGTGGCGCTCTTCAGAGGAAGTAGGTTTAATGGCATTTCCTCTCATTTTTCTCCACTGCGAGGTGTTGCAGTCGTCCCCCCCCTGCAGCTTGCAGAGTTCAGTAGCCTCTCTTGGGTTGGGGGTGGCAAAAAGGCCTCTCTGGAGTCCCTCTTTGGCTGGGGGTGGGGGAGGGGAGGCGGGAACGGGAGGACGACACAGCTGACTTGAGCTCTCTTGATCTCTCGTGGCCACCAAATTCGCAGTCTTGGCCCATCGGCTTGCTTCTCATTCCTGCTTGGAGTGAAGAAGGGCAGGCTGACTGCTGGTGCTCGGGTCCTAGGAAGGGCACAGGACACAATACAGACACCCAGGCCTCTTCTCCTGGTCTTCCCCTAGAGTAGCCCCTGGACTCCTCAGGAGTCAAGGCCCAAATAGCCTTAGCTTGGTTTTCTCTCCCTCTCTTGAGTCTCTGCCTGCAAACCCTTAGGGTCTCTCTGGGGTTTGTCTGCAGTGCTGCTCTTCCTGAATCCCTTTGGTCCCTGCCCATTGGCTTGGGGGGCTGACCTCTCCCCTGCACGCATGCCCACCCCATTCCCATTTTCAAGGGGCAGTGTTGGAGCTCCGCAGCCTTGAACTGAACTGGGGCCACGTGAGAGAAGGAGATGGCTTGACCTTTGCAGGAAGAGACGTGAAGGCAGATTCACAGCTCGCAGCGCTGCAGGGAGACCCAGGGCTGCACAGGGAGCCGCAGGCGTTGCCACAGCCCCAGCAGCTCTGATGGGAGCCTGTAAGAGGAAACCAGCTCTGGGAGGCCAAGAGCTTCTGTGCGATGTGTGTGTGTGTGTGTGTGCGCACGCACGCACACACACACACACACACACAGGTTGCTCATTGAGCCTTTGGTGGTGGGGAAGCTGAGGCTACTGTCAGTGTATGGCAGTAGGCAGTGGAGGGGGGCTCACAGATAGGCTGAGGGCCAAGGTTGGGGCTGCAGTGGAGGATGGGGCCTCTGGAAAAGAAAATTGCTAAAGGAAGTGGCCCCTAAGAGGCCCAGCCACCTGGAGACTGGCTTATCAGATGGGGGTGGGGGGCAGTGTCCAGGCATCTTAGCAAAGTACAGCCTGGGGAGGGTAGAACTGCCAAAGGATAGGGAGCCTGGAGCTTGCTTGGGTTTTACACATTATTTGGGGGTGGTGTCTCCCAGGGAAAAACAACAGGCCCTTTACTTGGAAGTCTCCAAAGGCCTCAGGTACAATGATCTCAGACCCGACAGTCCAGGTTCACCCAGGGGTATGCTCTGGGGAAGGGGTGGCAGAAGGTGCAGCCCCCTCTGATCCCTTCCCAGGCTCTGGGGGAGGGAGCCGGCAGTGGGGGGGGGAGTGGACCCACTGTACCCCGAGGCCGCTGTCTTTGCAGGGTGAGGTGGGGAAACGTGCTGCCTTAGTCTGGCTGCTGGAAACCATTGTTTGAGTCTGCACCCAGCGCTTCTCCAGCCGGGCTAATTCTCCACGTGTCCAATTTTCGTGTCTGAAAAAAAGCAGCAGCACAGAAACAAAACCATATGACAGGACTGGGCTGCAAACCTTGAAGAATCGAGAGGGTGGGGGAGGTGGCGGCTGGGAAGGGGGAAGGGAAATTATGTGTGGATGTGTGTGTGTGTGTGTGTGTGTGTGTGTGTGTGTGTGGTGGGGCGGGGGCAGCGGCGCACAACTCAAAGTTTTGTCTATTTTCTACCCGATCTCACCTCCCGGCGTGCTCATCTGATGCAGTTCCAACTCCCTCAAACGATTCCGCAGCCCCAGCGCTCGCGGGAGTGTGGAATTACAGTTGGGAGGCGAGGCGCCGCCGGGAGCGGCGACGCGCAGAGCCCGGTGGTGCGGAAGCCCAGGCCCGCAGCCACGAGACGCCCCGGCTGGGTCTGGTCGGCGCCCCCCCACCCGCAGCGGCTCCGTCCCCTCCCAGGTCCCGAGCGGGAAGGTGGGTCACCGCACCCCGTCTGCTGGCTGCAGGAGAGGGGGAGGAGGAGAAGGGGGACAGAGCTTCTCCCGCCTACCTCTCTAGGGCGCGATACCCCCTTTCCCCCTTCCTGAGATCCAACTCCTTAAAAAATAGCCGAAGGGCTAAACGTTTAGCTACGGGTTCAGCCTTCCCCCACCTGCCCTCCGTGCTCTCTCCGCGTTCCCTAAACCCGCGAGGGCGCTTCAGGCCTGGCTTCCCCTCCTCCCCTCCCGCTTCCGCCCGTGCACGAGCTAGTGGCGGTCACTTCGGCGACTCTTTGGAGGCCGACGGCCCGGAGCTTTGTTCTCCCGGGGCTTCCCTCCTCTCTCTAAGTCATCCCCGGCTCCACACTTTATCGGCCCCCCCCTTCCACGTCCGCGCACACAAACAACCCTGGTTCATAATCTCATTAGCATAGGCCTGGATCTGGGTGACCGCGAGGCTCCCCGCGCGCCCCAGCGCAGCACTGTACTTCGCGGCGAGCCGGAGTTTCCCATCAGGCGTGCGCCCTGGGCGGGGGCAGGGATGTTGGCTTTGGGGCAGGATCGGGGCCGGCCGGGAAGAGGAGGCCGCCCGGGGCAGCCGGAGCCGCGGGAGAAAGGCCCCTCCCAGCGCCCAGTTGCCGTGGTCCCCGGAGCAGATGGCAACTTTGTCTCCTGGTGTGCGCGCAGCGACTTTCAACACATTCAAAAGGCTGCGCTCAGCCTGTCGGGGAAGCCTCGCTGACATTCAGAACCGATTAAAGAGCCGAGACGGTGCCAGGCGCAGTGGAGAGTTATGAATTAATCATGGGGGTTACCGATATCTGAGGCTCCCCAGGGCAGCCCCTCTATTATTAAGCAGCCCCCACTGCCCACTCCTGACCCCCCCGCCACAAAGAGCGTAGGCCCGGCGTCTTTTGCGCTGCCCCAATTAACAGCCACCGGATAATGTGAAAAGTGTTTGCCCTGCCACCCGAGGTGTGGGCTCAGGCCGCGCCGCTGGGCCTGCCAGACGCACGCCAGGCAGAAAGCTCAGCTTCTGGGACCGGCCCTGGTGAGCGCGGCGCTCCCTCCAGGGAGTGGGGGTGGAGTGAGCAAGGCGCGTTTTTAGGCTCTGAGCTCCAGGCGCCGCTCCCTTCACTTCTGCAGGTGGGGAGGCCCTGGGTAGAGGGCGACGCTGGGGGCCACCCACCACAGGGTACGTGTCCTGGGCCTCGGGAGTGGCTGGCAGGCTCGTGGTTTTGCGTGGTGCTTCTGGCGATGTTCCAGGCATGGAAAAGCGAGGTTTATGTGTGCTGTGAAAACCCGCACAGTGCCTGGGCCTTCTAGGAGGCCCACTGGCTGGAACCTTCATGCCCCAAGCAGCCCACAAGCCCCCTAAATGGGAACCCCCTCGACTACCGAACCCCTTGTCCGCATATTAAATCACGCACACTCTTCTAATCTTCCCTATTTATTTCCCGGGCCTGCCTGGCCACAGATTTCTGCAAGACAGAGCAGTCTTCGGGTTCCTCCTGCTTCCAGAGGGGCCATAAAAAACAGATGGTCTCATTAGGAACAATTTATGCATATATATTTCGAAGAGTTCAGCAGAGCTGGGGTAGGTTTGCAGCCCCTGCGTCAGGCAGGAGCAAAATATCACCACTTGCAAATGTTTCCAGTTTGCAAAATAATGGCCTATCCAAAGTAGCTAAGCAACGAATTACTCAAACACTAGAAGGTTAGATGCCAATATTATCGCATTCCTCGTGTTCCTTAAACCGTCCTCTTCCGCGGTCACTGCATTTCGGAGAGAGGCTCGGGGGCCACGCACCCCTACGCCCGCGGCTTCCTTTCAACGACTATTTCCAATCTCCAAGTCAAATCACTTATTAATTATAGAGGCAACTCGAGCAAACCCAATTACCCGTAGGCAGCCCTTCCCAGATGGGAAGTCTGTTTCTCGGCTCCCACGGTGGCCCAATTTCTGGGGGAGCCTTTCTTTTGCGTCCAATTTCTTTTTGTCAGTGGTCCGCCAGCGGCCCAGAAGGTTTCCTCTCCCTGGTTTTTCTTCCCAGGGGCAACTCCATTTTCTTACTCAGTTCCCTAGCCTTCCTCCAAGGAGACCTCCCCGCCCCTTAGGAGGCGCTGCCTTCAGGCTAAATTTACCGCCGCGCCAGGTTTAAGCCTCAGGCGTTGCAGACCTGGCGCGGGAATGGCGAAGCCACAGACAGAGCCCTATTCATTTGCAAACGCGGAAGGCTGAGTGATTCGCTCGCTTGGCTGCCCCTCGACTCCTCGGCCTTCCCTTCAGGCCTAGCCGGTGACTCGGACTCACCATGGTTTGTGAGTTGTGACCCTGGGCTCCGCAGGGGTTCACTCCTAATCGGAAAAAGGCCACCTCACTTTTTAATGCCGCTACAGTTCTGGCCATATGGTAATGCTAATGCTAACCACCGGGACTCTTTGTGCCAAGCAGTTTATATACACGTCTATCTTCTTTAAAACTCGCGGTCGCGCTTTTACAGAGGCATCATTCCTCCCATTTTGCAGATGAGGAAACAGATTAATCAACTTGCCTCAAATCATGCTGTTACTTGGAAATGAAGCCCTTAATTCAAAACTTGCGTTTTCATTCACAGCTTCAAAGACATCTTTCAGAATAGTATAAGCCGTAGCGGGGAGAAGGGGGTAGGGGCGTTTGGCGTGCAGCGGGAGGCCTAGCAGCGCAAAGGCCTCGGAGTGGTCTAGGTGTCCAGTAGGCATTTGTGTAGCACACGGGCTGGACGGGGGAAGAGATCTGGAAAACCGAGGCGCGCCTGGGATTTGGAGCGCTAGGGTGGCTGCACTGGCTGGGGGCAGGGTTGCGGGGTAAAGCGCCGCCGCAAGGGTCTTGCAGCGCGTGGAGAGGGGGTCCTCAAGGGACCGCGACAACCCCTGACGGGGCTGTGGCGCGAGTGGGACACATTGCGCCGTGCGGAGGCCTCTCCCCGGCGACCTGGGGGTCGCGCGGCGTGCGAGAAGCCTCGCGACGTCCCCAGAGGCAGCTGGCCTCAGCAGCGCTTCCCGGCCGCGCTCGCTAAGATGGAGCCAGCAGTTCCGCACAGGAGGGGAGGGGAGGCGAGGGGAGCCGGGAGAGGGATGCGCTGGCGAGCTGGTAACCGTCTGCAGCGAGGAGTGTAATTGCCCCTGTGACCGCGGGCGGCGAGGGCGGGGTGCGCGCCGGGCCTCCTCCCTCCCACTCCGCCGCCGGCGCGAGGCTGGCTTTTGGCTGGGAAGGCTTAGAGCTCCTCCAGGGCTTGGCCGGCTCCGCGCAGGGCGAGGCGCGTGCTGGCCCTCGTCGCCTGGACAGCCGTCCTCGGCACCCCCGCCTGGGTCCTTCCTTCTGCGCGCGGGCCACTTCCTTTGGCCTCCAGGCCCTTCCAGGCACCGGCCTCCCTCTTCCTTGGGGTGCGCTCCGGCCCGGGCCTGGGGCAGTCAGTTGCGCCCGGGTGATATCGGACACCCGAGAGCGGCTTTCCCTGGAGAGGGGCGGGGCGGCCGTCCTCGGGTGGCGGGTGTCTTACAAGACCCTCCACCCCACTCTCGGCTCGGGCGAGTCCAGAAGCCCGCGCGCCTCTGGGGTCTCCCTGGGCCACCCCTGCTCGGCGAGATCGAGCTCGGCTGCGCACACTGGGCCGCCTGTCGAGGGGCGAAGGGGCTCCAGGCACTCTCCGTGCCCCCGGATCTCTCCGCGTGGCCGGCGGGTGCGCTTTGCCCTTGGGTGGGTTCCTGGCCCCGCGCCGAGCAGAGGGGGCCGGGTCGGAGGTGGGAGAAGGGGGCCCGGGCCGGCTAGGGATTCCAGAGTTTGTAACCCGTGTAGTTTCTGGCTTTCACGGCTCGTTTGCAATCCTCCCACAGGAAGATGTCTGCCAAGGAGGCCTGCGCGGCCACCCGGGTGTACGAGTGTGCGGGTGTGCGTGCGGTGTGTTTGTGGTTTGTGAGTGTGTGTGAGCGCGCGCGCGCGCGCGCGCACAAGCCCCAGGAGGCGAGAGGAAGCCGGCCCCACCACTTTCTTGGCTGCAGTGCTGCGATCGCGTCCTGCGGCGCCGGGCCTGGCACCCAGGGCTCGCCCGCGCCACAGCCTCGGCCCGGCGGGCGCCCAGGCGTCCCTCTCGAGCTTCCTCCCTGTCCCCCCCCCACCCCTACCCCGGGCAGGGACTGTTAACCCAGGCAGGTGACGGCGCCCTGGCGCCCGTCGTGCGTTGGTCTTTATACCTCGTGAGTTCAACACTAATGAGTTATGGGTTGGCCCACGAAAACATAATGTGTAAATTAGGAATTTAATGATGTGTAAGATTAAAAGCTGCGCAGGGTTGCATTTATTTAAGGCTGCCATCTTGTGTTCGCAGAGAAATTACTTGAACGACATTGACCCCCCTCGCCCGTAGGACTGGAAATGGCGCGGGGGCGGCGGCGGGTTCTGGGGGCTCCGGGCCGTGGGACTTGAGGCTCCTCTCGGCCCTCTCCCAGGGCAGGAGGTGGTCTGTGGATGCTAAGGGCTGATTTGGGGTGGGCCTATTCATAGGAAGCCTATGAATCAGAGGGGCTGATTAAACTCTTTCCCCCTTTTGGGGATCCAAGATTGTCAAGGCCCACGGAGGGTTACCAATTTCTGGGAAACTTAATGCTTCTTCCTCTCCTGATGCACTCACAGGGTTTAGGGAATGTTTCCAGAATTCAAAAGCATCTATTAAAAATAAAAAAAAATTAAAAACTCATTTCCCTTTATTTTCAAGTGTTGAGTTTGCCTTCACAGAGCAGCCAGGGGCCCCTAGACCCAGGCAGGCCTGGAATCTGGATCCTGATCCCTCAGGTTTATGCAGATTTGGCTGACTTTTTGTAGGATTTTTTTCTTGTTTGCAAATTCGAGGGGCAATTGTGAAAGCAGAGACTCCTGGCCTTTATGCTCCAGCAGTGGGGCTCCCTGCTCTATGCCAGCATGCCTGTATACCAGCCAGCTCTCACCTTGGTATTGCTTCTTGCAGTTTTCTTTTCCCAGCAAAAGCTTCTGGCAATGTATTTGGTCTGAGATTCTCTCTCAGGTGCTCCTCCGACCCAGGTGAGGCATGTACCAAACAGCCACCACTTCGAGCCTTTCTATCTGGTTCTGCAGCCCCAGTGGTTGGCAGCTGGGATGTTCTTCATGCCCACTAGCTGGGAGGCCTCTCTGACCATCTCTTTCCAGCCCTGCGGTGGCTGAGGAGGGAATGAGGTAAGGTTGGGCATTCCTGGGACCCAGTCCAGAGATAGCTGTTCACCCCCTGGGCAATGAGGGCTTTCTTTCCCCAAGGGACTGCTTTGCACCTGGAAGAATGCCATGGCCTGGCAGGGCTGGAGCTGTAGTGTTTAGGGGGCCTGGGAGGAGTAAAAGCGACGAAAGGATTGGATCCTGGACTTCTATTTAGGGAACCAAGACCTGTCTTGGTAAATTACAAAGCTCCAGGGCCTCAGAGGACAGGGGGAGGCCTCCAGCCTGTGCTTTCTAGGCCTTGAAAGAGTTAATGGGAGAAATGTTGCTCCTGGTTTGTCTGTTTGCTCAGGCCTCACACTTATCTAACCAACCGCTGGAAGGGTATAACTTTAGAAGTTTTATTCTCTCTCCCGCTTGGCTGGGAATTTCAGAAAACCCTCGCTTAAGTAATCATGATAATCCTTTGAAATTCCTTAGGGTCTAAGGCCATTTGGTGTTCCCACTTGAGTCCTGTTTAAAAAAAGACAAGGAGAGAA